ATTCTTCATGAACCTGTTTCACTGTCTGCTGAAAGCTATCATAACACCATTCAGATTTCTGCAAAATACAGATAATTTTTCTCTGTTCACCCCTCAAGATCATGGTAGCTATGACAAATATGTTAGACACTGCTGCACAAAGATAGCAGGTCTCTTCCCAGCAGCTGATTCCTGTTATTCAGTTTAAATAACATCGTCTTGATGAATCCAGCAAATCTGCCATTCTGTTTTCAGAAGCAGCCAGTTCTGATAATAAAAAAGGTATACAGCTGATGGATATTCCCTGTCATGTTGCCTGTATTTATTGTTCTTTAAATTCCTCCAATACCACAAACACAGATGGGCAACTCAATGTCTGCAGGTGTCCATCTTTAGCTGCTTTTGAATTTCAGAAGTGCAGCTGTCAGTAATAGGGCAGGTTGCAGTTTTCGATGGAATTAAAAAATAAAACAGCAATACTACATACTGTGATGGGACCGTACTGCTTATGAAGAAAAAAAATCCAAAGGTTTGAATCTCACATGGAATTACAGGGAATCCTCCACTTCCAACCACAATTGGGGTAGAATTTCCATTGTTTAAGCAAAGCGGTCAAGTGAGTTTTGTCCACTTTAAGATCTTTTTTTACTATAGTTGTTAAGCAAATCACTGCTGTTATTAAGTGAATTACACATGGCCATTAAGAGAATCCCACTTCTCCCATGACTTAATTATTGTAAGCCAGCTGTCACAAATAGCAATCATAGGACTTTGGGATGCTGCAGCCATTATATATGCATGCTGGTTGCCAAGTTCCCAAACTTTGATCAGGTGATTATGCTGCAATGGTCATAAGTGTGAGGACCAGTCATAAAAGCATTTTTCAGTATTGCAACTTTGCAACCATCACTAAACAAATGGTTGTAAGTTGAGGACTACCTGTATTGTGTGAGTGGGGTGCCAGGAAGAAAAAGTGGGGGAAAGAATGGCCCTATCATATTTACAGTAGGATTTTAGTTTATGATCTATCTGTAGCAGATGGAAGCATGTAACCCCTCTTGCCTGAACCTGAAAAAGCCAAGCCTCCTTCGAACTTGGGCACTATTAGATCACCATAATATCTCATGTAATCACTAGATGCTGATCTTTACTTGAGGAAGTCTTGGACTTAGTAAATATTTATTCTGTTCAATTCAAAATCCACTTAGATTGCCTTTAATTTGACACAGAAATAGAACATTAATGTTTGGACAACTAATATTTCAACAAGAAATAAAATGAACATGAAAAGCTCACAAGTTTCTTTTCTTTTGAACTGAAAAGGGTTCAATAGTTCAATCATCCTTCCTGAGTCTGGTGATGTTTTAGACTGATTAGAGACAAACGTCGCTCAGTTCCAAACCAGCACGGCAAATGATCAGGAATGATGGGTGATGTTGTTTAGAGAATCATAAGACCAGGGATGGCCTGACCTAAAAACTTTCCCTACAGCTGAAACATGTGCTTAAAAACATGACTATTTTTTCTTTGGAAAAATACTTCTAACAAAGATGTTTCCGTATTTTCTCTAGATCAGTTTTTTCACCTTGGCAAGCTGAAGAGGTATGGACTTCATCTCCCTTTTGGGCTGGGGAATTCTGGGAGTTGAAGGCCACACATCTTCAGCTAAGCAATGTTGAGAAACACTGCTCTGGAGTCTAGACCAGGGGTGTCAAACTCAAGGCCTGCAGGCCAAATCCAGCCCATGGGGTGCTTAGGCCTGGCCTGTGGGGCCACCTTGGAAATAGCAAAGGACCGGCCCATGATGTTTCTGCCAGTGAAAACGTTTTCGCTGGCAGAGGGTTGCAGAAGGCTGTCGCAGCTGAAAATGGAGATTGGGAGCCCGTTTTTGCTGGCAAAGCACTCGGACCACCACAGACACCCCGTGACACGAGTGACATCAAGCTGACCATGCCCATCCCGAGGTCAAACACAATCCTGATGCGCCCTCAGTGAAATCGAGTTTGACACCCCTGGTCTAGACAGTTCATTCCACTGTAAAATGGGTCTTGTTCTTGTTCAAATCAACTTCTGGAGATCAAATGTAAAGCACAAGCCTAAGGAAGCCCATAGATAATAAGAAATTGAACTTAATTTACTGATTAAATTTATCTGCCACCCATCCCACTGCTGAAGGAACTCTTGATATACTGCCATTATATCCCAATGTCTGTGTTCTCATATGTGCATATCTGGTCACTGAATTAACCTAACTTGTGGGTATGCACCTAATGCATCCTAAACTACCGGCAACTATCAGATACTACCACATGCTACCTTCTATTAAACACCCCACCCCCCAAAAAACCACCCTCTAATCAAGGTTGAAGCTAACAAAACCTAACTAAATCCAGGGGAGGGATTCTGCTGGTTCAGACCGGTTCAGGCGAGCCCCTAGCTCCGAAGATCAGCTGGGAGTCAATCGGTTTGCTCCAACGATCATGTGGGCCCCCCTGCCCGACCACCCCTGTACTGTCCTGACCTTTATCGTCCCAGCTGATCAGCGTGGAAGAGCGGATTGCCGCTCCTCAGCTGTGTTACTCCCCCAAAGTAACGTAGCAGGTAAAAAAAATTACATTGCTGTTCACGCGCGTGCGCACACAATCACCAAACTGGTTGTTATACCGGCAGCATCCCACCCCTGGCTAAATCCCTCTCTGACTGGTTAAATATGTGATCAAAAGCAGTCAATATATCTGTTACTTGATGCAGCCCTTTCCTTTTGAAAAGGAGTTTTGTTGGATGATATGCCAGGATAATTAGATATGATGCTTTTCTCTTAGCAATAGCAATAGCACTTAGACTTATATACCGCTTTACAGTGCTTTACAGCCCTCTCAAAGTGGTTTACAGAGTCAGCATATTGCCTCCAACAATCTAGCTCCTCATTTTACCCACCTTGGAAGGATGGAAAGCTGAGTCAACCTTAAGCCTGGTGAGATTTGAACTGCCAAATTGCAGGCAGCAGAAGTAGCCTACAATACTGCACTCTAACCACTGCACCACCGTGGCTCATGTAATAAGCTTAAGGTGCTATGTAATGTAGCTAAAATTCTGTATTGCAGCTATTAGACAAAATACTACAGAAATACATCTGTGCAATGAAGAATGAATAGAATAGAATAAATATGCCCAGAGTGATTTATGTTACATGCTGCTTCATTAGAATTTTACATATGTTTTTAACATCTGATTTTATTATGCTAAATTATCATAATTTTGTTGCATTCACGAATAAACTCTCAGGATACAAATAATCGTGCTAGTTTGGAATCTTATGATCTGGTCTACGTATTTGCAGGCCAGAATAATTTTCCTCCTGTTTTTTTCAAACCAGTTCAAAGGCATTTTGCAGCATTTTCTTTTATCTTATGTCTAGAAAAAAAAGGAGCAAAAGTATATATATATATATATATATAAAAGAAGAAAAATTCAGGCAGTCCTTGACTCATGACCATAATTTGGACCAGTAAAGCATGCCAGTTGTTACACAATCATGCCAAAATTTACCTATTTTGCCTTTTTTGCCACAGTTAAGTGAATCACTGCAGTCGTTAAGTGAATCATGTCACAAAGCGAATCTGACTTCCCCAATTTACTTTGCTTGCCGGAAGCTGACTAGGAAGGTGGCAAATGGCGACCACAGGACCTGAGGGTGCCATTACCATTGTAAATGTCAGTTGTCAAGCACCCAAATTCTGATCAGATGATCATGAGGATACTGTGATGGTTGTAAAGGAGAGGTCACTTTTTCATTTTCCTTGTAACTTCAAATGGTTACTAAATGAATGGACATAAGTTGAGGACTGCCGGTAACGTGGAGGAAACATACTTCAAAGGTCTTACCTTTTTCTTACTGCAATAGATCTGCCATTTCTTTTCCGCTGGGAGGGCAAACATGGCTTCTCTGTGCTTATCCGTAAGGTCAAGTTCATCCTAGCAAGAAAAAAAGGGTGGGGGAGAGAGGTAAATGTTTATTATCAAAAAAATAAACTTTGATATTCCTTAGCACTTTAGCTAAAGGGGAGGAGCCCCTCCCTTCTCCTTAGACAGGCTTAATTTTTCCCCCTTAGCTCAATAATTATATCATATCATGTTGGCCTTTCTGCAATGACTGATTTGAGTTTAGATTATAATGAACTTTCTGGGAAACAGCTTCCTGTAACCTGATCCTGGATCTTAGATTGGGGATTAGTCATATGTCAAAATCAACCTCATATTTAAGCCCCAGGAGAAATGTTGGCCTTTTTAAAGGTGTTAATTTTCATTTAATTTTGATGGCATTTAAGGATGCAACTGATAGCTTGGCATCCACAGCTTTCTTGTGGCGGAAAGGAACTACAGCTTTCTACTCTTCTATTTATTTACCAATGACTCTAAGTTTACAGCCATGTTGGGAAAGGAAAGGATTTAACTGAGCTAATGTTCTTGGTCACATTCCATTCAAAGGCTTCACTGCATTTATAAACCAAAATATTTCAGCAGCTTTGTGGCGGGAGGTGCCTACAAAGCATTTGGCTTAGGAGAGTGTTACTATTCCCTGAATTAACGTGCAGTATCACCATAAGCTAGAATTCTGAACAATTTTAGTTTAGTATGACTGAGGTAATATGTCTATGCACACTCTTTGGTTGTTGCAAATGGATGGAAGGTTATTAAAGAGAGATCCAACCTATAATTAAAGAGAAATTTTCTGACAGTAAGAACAATTAGTCAGTCGAACAGCTGGCATGCAGAAGCTGTGGGTGCTGTATCATTGGAGGTTTTCCAGAAGAGAGAACCATATTCCGGAATGGTATATAGGGTCTCCTCAGGGGTAGGATTCTACCAGTTCGTACCTATTCACTAGAACGGGTTGTTAACATTCTAAGCAGTTCAGAGAACCAGTTGTTAGAAGAAATTACTGGCCTAATCCTGTAAGGAAGGCAGGAAGGAAACATTATGGTGTTGCTTACAGAAACGGCCTCTTCGTTAACCCTTATTACATTCTTGGCAGGACTAGACTTCCTGTCTCAGGAACGTCTCTGGAGTTTTTCCCCCCTCCTTTGCTGGTACTTTACTTGTGTGGAGTGACCATTCAAAGTTACAATGGCACTGAAAAAAGTGACTTATGACCATTTTTCACACTTACGACTGTTGCAGCATTTCCACAGTCATGAGAGGTGAGGCGAGGAGATGTGTGCCTCGATGTGAGTGATATGGAGTTGGTCACACCCAGCCAATAACATGACCACCAAGCCATGTCCACCCAGTCACATAACCACCAAGCCACGCCCACCACCTAAGCCACCCCCACAGAACCGGTTGTTAAAAAATTTGAATCCCACCCCTGGGTCTCCTGGACTAGAACAGGGATCCCCAACCTCCAGGCCGCAGCCCACTACCAGGCCTTGAGCCTTTTGGACCTGGGCTGCAGAAATATATGAGCAGTGTGTGTGTGTGTGTGCTCTATTTGCGCAGGAGGCGTGTTCGTGTGCCCAATGCTCGTGCAAATTGAGCTGTGCAAGAGAGAGCACTTGCCCACTGCACACTTGGAACCATCTCCTCTCTCCCAGCCAACCCTGATCCATCTGCAAAACCAAAAAAATTGGGGAACTGTGGACTAGAAGACCACCAAGGTGCCTTCCAATGCTGTTAAATCATGGAAGTCCTGACTATGGTTTGCTTAGTGTTGCAATGAAATTAGAAGGTGAGTTTTGTTTCTCTCCTAATAAACCAGAGTCATAAGCCAAGAATATAACTCTCACATATATTACACCCGTGATGACGAACCTGTGGCACTCAGAGCCATTTCTGCCAGCATGTGAGAAGCCCCCCGAAATAGCCCCACTGCGCATGCGTGCGCCCCCCGCCAGCTAGCTGATTGTCGTGTATCCGCTGTGCATGCATGGGGGAGACGTGTGCATATGTGCAGGGAGCGGGGGTTGCGTGGGGGAGGTTGCAAGTGCATGCGCAGAGGCAGATAGTGTGAGTGCCGAGGGTCACGTGCGCATGTGCAGGGGGGGCCACGCACGCATTGCATTATGGATGAAGTCCACACATCTCAAAGTTGCCAAGACTAAGAAACCCTGGCATAGAGAGTAGAAAATTGTCACTGGCAGGAATTTCAAGCTGGTGACAAAAACACCTGGTGGCCACATGGACTGCCTGCAAGGAAAACAGGCAATGTGTTTTTGTAAAGAAAGCGTACAGTAATGGAGCTTTCTATTTATTTATCCTCATGTTTGAAATTCTGTGGCTAAATCCCTAAAGCAATCAGCACACAAATTCCATACATGCAACTTCAATTAACAATCATGAAACAGACTAATTAGTGAGCAGATGATGCCAACTGGCAACTAGCTTTGTAGGCTATTTGCTATTTGTTCTTTGGGCATGATTGGAGATTGGGTAAAAAAGAAAGAAATGACAAACACGCATACACAACTGGCTGACCTGTTGTGTGAGTGAGCTCAGAAGTAAATAAAATACCCTCTTAATTATTCTTGCAAGAATTTAATTTAATTTCTAAATTAGTCTTGCAGTAGAATCAATTATTTTAGAAGAGGCTTTTTCATCCTACACAAATAATTTAAGTCCTTTGCAATCCTGGAGAAATTGTAGTTAACATTTTGAAGAATAAAGCAAAAACCAAGATTGGTGGCTGCATTCAGACTACACATAATTGACATACCTTGTTCCTACATATACAGATTGTTAATACTCCTATTTGCCAATTTTTCCATTATGAGGAACTCGTATGTTTTAAATATGGGCTATTAGATCTTCATGCCATACTTTTAGCCCCAGAAGTCAGGAAATTATTAACTTTCAAGACTCAGGAAATTTACTTCCACATTTAGTTTTTCAGTTTACACTGGAACAAACTCAAGAAGTTTTAGGCATTCATTCTAGAATTCCTTGGCTGCCTAACCTTCTTATAAAGCTGTCCAGAATCAGGAGGAAAAACTGAATTTGTGCAAAATTCAGAAAAATAAAGAAAAGTAAAATAAATCAGATGGAAGAATAAGAGGATTTGATTCTCTTTTTTAAATGCAATCTACAGGATCCTCCTAGAAGCCAACAAAATTTTCTGGCTTTGATTGTAGAAGGGAGGAAGATGAACTAACATAGCAACAAGGCAACCATAAAACAAACTATAGCACAGAAAGACAATGAATATTTCCACAAATCTTTCAGATTTTTGATCCAACCTTGCATCATATGGTTATAACTTAAATGTGAAAAACACCTTATTTCAGCAACATAGTTATTGAGCAGCACTGACTAACTTGTTTTCTTATAGAAGAATAGGATTATTTTTCCACTTAGTGATACTGATATTATCTTTATTCTGTAATTTGGAATATAGAAATAAAAAAATAGAAGGGATGAGAGAAGGAAACGTTTTTTAATTGAATTAATCTGAATTACTTTGGGTGACTGGGTGTCCTGCTTTTTATTTTCCAAAATAATATTCCAAAGTGAATGCATATTCATTACAATAAAATATAAAATTATTTGCAACCTTTCTTAAAATGTAACCTTACTGTGTTATATATGGACATGAAACATACTATTTAATGGAGAAACCAGCTTCTGTTTGACCATTCCTAAATAACAAGCCTCTATTAGTAGGAGCATGCTTGCCTACAATATCACCGTTCAAATGACTTCAATGTTGGAACTGAAGGAAAAGAGAAAGAGATGGTTTCACAAAAAGTAAACAACTATTGCCAACCAGGTTTGAGCTTTCTCTTTTACCCAAAACTTTTACGGGTGTTTTTTTTTTAATTTTGCCCATCCCTCTTCACTCTTGTATTTTTCCCAGACATTAATTACACTCTTTGAGGAGCCCAATGCTGCTGATGTAAGTAAAGCTGGCAGATGATCAAAATGAGTTTGTGAAGTCGCAGAAACCAACCACTTCTTAAAGACGCCTTAAGAACCTCTCCCTTAATGATGCTAACTGAATGACCACAGCACAGAAAAAAAACTTTGTTGTGGCAGGTTCTCACAAGATGAGGCAAAAATCAAAGATATAAAAAAGACTGCACATTAATTCCATGATATTGTTTCTGTATCATCTTTCCACATCATAAACATGATTGGTTGTTTTTAAAAAACAGCAACAGAACTAACCCTGAATGGCTTTTACAGGACCAAAACTGGAGCTAGGTGAATTTCTTGTATCTAGTAAGCAACATACATAAGCGTAGGGTAAATTACAGGTAGTCCTCGACTTACAACAGTTCATTTAGTGACCGTTGAAAGTTACAATGACACTGAAAAAAAGTTACATGACTATTTTTCACACTATTGACTGTTATAGCATCCCAGGGTCACGTGATTTACATCTGGATGCTTGTCAACTGGTTTGTTTTTATGACGGTTGCATTGTACTGGGGTCACATGATCATCTTTGACCTTCTGACAAGCAAAGTCAATGGGAAAACCAGATTCACTTAACCATGTTACTAATTTAACAACTACAGTGATTCATTTAATAAAAGTGTAGCAAGGAAAGTTGTAAAACGGGATAAAACTCACTTAACAAATTTCTCTTACTCAGCAACATAAATTCTAGGCTCAATTGTGGTTGTAAGTTGAGGTTTACGTATACAGGCTAGGAGTACCTTGTAAATTTCTCAAACTGGACAGACAGAGGAAAAAAATTGTGGTTGAGCTTGTACAAATATATTTGTCTAGTCACCTGTGGCAAAGAGAAATCCTCTCCGGATCACAAGGAAGATTTCATGAAATAGAAGAAAACGGACTCTTGGATCTGCAACTCATCAACATGCAAGAAGTAATTAACTGATATGTGTAGACATGTGGACTAATTTAAAAAATAAAATAAAGTGATGGCAAGTGAGTGTGATACCAAGAACTGAAAGATTCCAGATTCACGAGGAACATTGCTTCTTCTTAAGTCTGGGATCACTATCCCATACAGG